CAGGGCAGCTAGCGAAAGTCTCCACAAACTTCACAGACTGATCGAAGTGTGCAGTACGTCCTGGTGTGTTCATACTCCTGAAGGTTTGTACATGGCACTGTGCCGTTCCTTTTATGTGATTCTTCCACCTTAATTCTTCGGTGCACTAGGTATTCCAGGCTATAAATGGGGTGCACTTCATTTTTCTTCAAGAGTCCAGCTCTACCTTGAAGAGTGATTGCGGCTTTTTGTTCTGTTAATGATGTTACTAACGTTCTTTGCAGAAAAAACTTTTTTTTTGAGGGCATCGATAACTTCATTGGGGGTTATGTCGGGCTTGATCCCTTTTAGTACATCTTGCAAGCCCTTGCTGCTTTTAGTTGGTATTTAGACACAGCTCGGAAATGTTCTTCGACTTTGGTCTAAAGTTTGGTTTCTTGCATATTCCCTTTAGTGATCGGACAACATTAAAATTTCCGTCCCCGACCAGCGCAACAATTTTGTTGACCAGGGCGTTCGAGCTTTTCTCCCTAATGTAATTTGGTAAGGGCTTTGGTTTCGGTTGGGTCTCTTTTCCCAGTCCTGGTTGAGTTTCAGCTAGGAGGGCAAATCTGTTGTTATTGGATCTCCCGGGTAATTCGTTGTCTCTTTGGACACAGTTTATTTTTGGCTTATTATTATTATTGTTCTGCGGGCTAAGCTTACGTTTAATTTGGATGTCTGTATGGCCGGGGCCGCTTGTTGAATATTTTCTTGAGTTTGTTTTGTCATAATTTTAGTAGACGTTATTTGGCGCTGCAGTCGACGACATCGCATTGATTCCGTGGTAAGAGCCGTTGCTGTAGAAGTTGTTGGTTTTGCTGCCGTTGCTGTATTTGTTCCTGTTACTTTTGGTGCGTTTTGCTGAAGTTATACCGCTGCATGTTTCTGATGTGCCAAGGGTCGATTCTGATGGTGGGGGGTTTAACATTGAGAACTCCACGCCGTTGGAGTGGGAGTAACAGCAAGTAGAGAGGGTGGAAGCGATCGTGCTTTTTGGGTATCAACTGACAGTAGAGCCGGGTGGGTCTTTGTAGACGTCTTAAGCACTTCGCTATCGCGCTTATAGATATACGAGAAGTACCCGCCTCTTCGGCTCACGGAGCTCTTTAATTGATTCGGCGGTCACTTTTAGCCTGGGACTATTATAAAATAATTTAGGCGTATTTTCGCCTATTTTGTAATACACCAAATTAGTTTTTAAAATTTAATTTGTCTTTAATACATCCACTTTCTTCAACTTTTCAAGGAGCTCGCGCGAAACAAGTCCGCTCCCTTCACCTGCACAATTAATTGTTTTATAACTAATGAATTCGTTTTATACCCTTGCAGAGGGTATTATAATTTCAGTCAAAAGCTTTCAACGCAGTGAAGGACATTTTCGTCCCTATAAAGTATATATATTCTTGATCAGCATCACCAGGAGAGTCGATCTAGCCATGTCCGTCTGTCCATCCGTCCGTCCGCCCGTCTGAAATTGTAATACCCGCGGCAGGGGTGCAGAGTATAACTTTGTTGTTTTTAACTTCTTTTTTGTTCTTTGGGATTACGTAAAATTTAAGTACTATGGAATTACGGTTTTAATTAAATTAAAATCGGACATATATATCATACATCTCTCACAGAAAAATCGAAAAATTAATTTTGCTGTTTTTCTACTTATCAAAATATTCCTTTGAGATATAGTAATTATTTACTACATCCGAATTACGCTTTTAGTTTGTCAACATCGGAAAACAATACATATAGCTGTCATAGAAACGATGACAAAATGCACCGCAAAATCGTTATAGTTGCATTTAATAACAAGAAAGCAAAGCTGACTTCGGGCGGAGCCGAAGTTGATATACCCTTGCAGAATACTCTGTAAATTATATTCTCAAAAATTATTCATATGATGCATTCTTAATATTCATAAAAAATCCAAATTTCCTAACTTTAAAAATACCAACGTTTTGGCATTTCCGAACAGTTATCATGTTATATGGCGGCTATAGGATATACCCGGCCGATCCCGGCAGTTCCGACTTATATACTGCGTGCAAAGGAACGAAGGAATATTCCATTGAAACGAAACTTTCAGGTTTCATTGTTATGTATTTCAACAATTTTCTCAACATTTTTCATTAAAATATATGTCATATTATGCCTACAAGCATTTCGCCGAGGCGCCTCTTGTGTGCATGTTCGCAAATTAAAAATAAAATCATTTTTGTTTTTGAACTTTTTTAAGGTTTTTTAGGTTCAACTAGAAGAGAATTAAATCCCGAATCCAATAAATTTTGTCTCGTTTCGATAGGACAAGAGAAATAGTAAAAATAAAAAACCGAGAAATCGCACGTCAAAGTTTCCGCCCGCTCGTATACTTGCCCGCCGCTTGGTCACTATTTCTTCTTTAACTTAAAAAATATTTTGATTTTGCTTTTGAAATTTTAGGGACACATTCTTGGATAGTTTGGGTAGACATTAATGCAAAAATAAAATTCGATTTTTTAAGCCTCTAAAGCAGGCTCCCTCCTTAATGGTATAATAATACATTTTAAATGGTTTTAGGTCCTTAAATTAAAGTTTATGTTTTTTGACTTTACAAGGTAAAAATAAATTCAACAGCATGTGTTCAAAAATTAAAATTTAATAAGCAGGACCAAGGATCTTACTACCTCTAGCACAGCATGATTTTATTGACGGCAAGTAAACCATGTTCGAAATTCACTTGACTTCTGTTTTGTATCAAATCCTGAAGGTGTGTTTCTGTCCAGAGTAGCACCACTCTCGCAACCAGGAGATCCATATCACCCTACAATTGAACTTACAATTGACACGGGTAGAGTTATAGAAGAAAAATCACAAAAAATCATCCAAACGAATACATTGTTTTCGCAAGGAAGACTTTCTAAGGCTAAATAATTTTATTTCAGGCTTTAATTGGTCTGATCTTTACTTATGCAATAATATGTTTTTTATTGTTATTGTAAAGTCCAGACTTTTTAGGAAATATAAAAATACCGGTTCTCAATCTGTTTTTGCTAGATATTTAAGTGCTCGGTCAAGATTTACCGTGCTTAATGCTCAGTGTTATAATAGTCACTTAAACCGTTGTAAGGTCCAGTTCCAAGCGTAAATCTAATTTTCATACTTCCTCGCTGTCGTTCGAAAACATGACGGCAACCACAGATCAGGCAATAGCCGTTTTATTAGCCCAATTTTTTCAAACTACATACTCTACTTTAGATTATTCATAACAGCCTTATTATGATTAAGGGCTTCAATAGTAGTTTTCAAACAGACGTCATTTACACTGACTTTAGTAAAGCATTTGACTCTGTAAATCACTTACTTCTAGTTCAAAAACTTGACCTGATAGGTTTTCCAGTTGATCTGCTTAAATGGATTCCAAGTTACCTGAATGGCAGGTCACAAAGAGTCCTTCTTAAAAATGCAATTTGTAAAATTCTCCGTGTTACCTCCGGTGTCCCACAAGGGAGCCTTCTGGGTCCGCTACTTTTTACATTATCTTTCCTCAATTATAACTCAATCTGGCGTACTTTTGTACGCAGATGATGTTAAATTATACTTGCAGTATAAACCCATTTCGATGATCCTTATGTAACTAAAACTGGGATGCAAATCTTAACTTACCTTCCTATTCTAGTAGACTTCTTTTGATAAACTTACCATCCCTAGCCAACCGTAGAACGATGCTTGGTACTATCTTTATTTATAACCTTATACATGGTGATATTGACTGCCCCGACTTAGAAAGTCGGCAAAACTTTTCTGTGCCAAGTAGATTAACTAGAAATTATATTCCCCTAATTTTAAATCATTGTAGATCTAATTATGTCTTGCATGAGCCTTTCAGAGTATTATGTTCAGACTATAATAGACTTTTTCCTATAATCTCAAATCTTGACTCTCTGCCGCTCCTAACTTCATTGCCACAAAATTGATCCTACTATTACTTTTTTCCCCGGCCATTTACCTATATTTTCTTATCTCGCGTCTATCTTCTCGCGAATTGTGCCGTATGATACACGGCTGCACCCCTCGTTCCGTTGGGCGGGTAAGTGGGCCGTGGGACTCCGCGCAAAAGAAAAATAATAAAAATAGGTCAACTCGAATGTTAAAGTTGAGGCAAGGATGCCCAGAAGCCGTTTTTACCATTCGGAGCCCTTTACGGCATTTAAAAGGACCCACGCCCTTGCAAAATACAAGGCACACTTGCCAATCCATGCCTTTGAGTGGCCAGGAAAGAGTAAAGATTGTATGATAATGGGATAATGTCAACCCCCAGATCTTCTCAACATAGATCAAAGTTAAGGATAAAAAGGACATTGGTAAGGATATTCACCCAACAGTATTTTGTAGGCCCTGCATGATGGTTTCTACAAATGACTTGCTTCTAGAAGCCTTGATCCTGAATATTAAATTTTAATTTTTTAACACATGCTGTTGATTTTCTTTTTACCTTGTAAACTCAAAAAACTTTAACTTATATTTATAATTAAAGTGTAACAACAAATAAATTATATGAAGTAAATAGAAGCCAATTTGGATGACCAAAGCTCGAGATAAAAGAAAGAAAGACAAGCCAATAATTTTTAAGATAGGCCCTTGTGACATTCTTTATTCTTTTTCAACACTTTTTGTATTATTTACTAAGCTAGTGTAATTAATTGGATTTATAGTTGAATGATTTCGATTTTATGAAACGTTGCTACTGTTTGACGTGCTAAAAATATATTCGTGCAAACCAAACTGGATGGAAAAACAAGGCAAAATCAAAAACAACTGACGAATCAACAAATTTCTTAAAATTAATCATTTAAAGCTAAAATCATATCACGTTTTTTTTCAAACAACAATTTAATTAAGTGTTGAAACCATTTCCTCTCTGCCTTTAAAGGTCATTTAAAAATCGGAGAATATTTTATATAAATTGTGAGTCTGATTGCAATAGTTTTATTTAGATGTATACTTACTTATATCCGGACATTTTTCTATTAATGTGTTAATATGGAATCCTGCATTGTTATGCCCGTGCAAAATGTTCGATATAAATTGAGAGCTTGATGAGAGCAATCCGCTTGAAGTTCTTATAGCTTTTCCCAACTTTGAATGACTGGTTGGTGACGTAGGTGCAGATGTGCACGTTAAATAAGGTGAGTTGTTTTCACGACTGATGATTTGTGAAGAGTGCAGTTCATCATTAAATGTTGACCGACTTTTTTCCCACTCTAACTTTTTCTGGACTCGCAGATCCTCAGACATCGTCCATTCTAAATGAGCGTTTTGCAGATTACTGGAACATTCGTTTCCCTTAATAAAATCCAAAGCTATAAGGGCCCAAGCATTTAACGTTTGTACAGCTTTATTTAATCCTTCATTCATTCCAGGTGGATTTATTTCGCCCTTTGCCTTTATATTTCTAAGATTTTTATCATAGTTAATTGACTTAAATCGATTTGATTCAGAATCTTGTACACTCTTCTTTCTCGCCATTTTCAAATAACGTTTGATTGTATCGCTTACTGACTGTGAAATATCTTCATCAATCGAACTTTTCCTACAACTTAAGCTCGATGCGTCGTATCCATCCTGCTTGTCTAATTCTTCTAAATGTTGTAAATTATTATCGCAACTTCCAATCATTAACTTGTACTGTGCCGCCAAACTTTTTAGTTCGCTAAGCTGAATAAAACTAGTTTGAGTTCCACATGTTTTTAAGCTTTTTTCAATTTTTGTTCCTTTTAGAAGGTTTTGCTTTGGAAACTCGGAGCTCTGCTGAATTTTGTGAAGATCTAAGTAAAGTGAATTTTTCGTGCTTCCCAAAATTTTACTGGATTCACTTTGTTTAAGACATTGTTTGCTATTACGGTTATCAAATTGATTGCTAGTTATACTATCATAGTTACCAATTTTTGACAAGTTAGACAGTGAAGTCGACCGATTAGCATTGTTTTTTGATGGTTCCTTGGAATGTAGGATCCGATGAAGCTGTTGTTTCTTAAGTGTACTGTAGATTTTTTTTAAAAGTACTTTGTCATCAAGAATGATTTCGGATACATCACTAAATTCCAAATGAATTCCCTCTTGTCCAAACATAAAAGATTTAGATAAAAGTTTTAGACGGGAAACGAGCTCTGCTTTAAGAGTTACGTTTAAGGATATTATAGTCTCTTTGTCATTCTTGTTTTTAAAAGTTGGTCTTTGGGCACTGGGTGAAGATGTTTGGTCAGGTCGAACCGTTTTAGTGCCAAGTAGAGTTGTTGTTTTGTATACATCGCGAAGCTCAAGATATGTCTGCAATAATTCAAGGGTTCTAACTTCATTGTAATAACTATTGGTTGACTCAACTTTATTTTCAGTGCGTCTAGCACTTGTGTGCCTCGACAGCAGTTTCAATCTCCGCTTAGAACTGCTAATTGCTCCTGGGTATGAGGTTCGTCGACTCCATAAAATAAAACTTGGTTCAGATAAGCAGACACGTTGAAATTGCTCTTCTATGAAGTCAATATTATCTGACCCTGGCTGAGATCCGTCGGTAACAAGCTTACGGCCTGCATCTTTCATATATCTCCAGGTTTTTCGAGTTAAAAGCCAGCGCTCTCGTTTTCTTTCCTTGTCTTTTGTGCTACAGCGACGTAGTCTACTACCAAAAGAAACTCCTCCAGATTGGTTATTCACAAAATTAGTTGGCTTGCGAGTATTAACATCATCTGAAGAGTGTGGCTCCAATGACGATATTTGTGATACAGGGAGACAATTGTTCAGCTTGTCAAGAGCGTCATCCAAAGGTCCTGACCTTTTTTTTATGGCAGACACAGGGCTTCTTAAGGTTGTTAGGTACTTCGTTGGATCCTCAGATTTTCCTTGCAATTCCATGTTATGTTGACACAATAAGTTTGGAAATAGCCGTAAGTTAGTATAGACTTTTCTATATTATTAGAGTGTGAATTTTAACGTATTTATTGTTTTTTAACACGCCAAACCACAACAAACAAATTTCAGTTGAAGTTACTTGAAGCACATCACATATTTTCACATTGCTTATTTTCATATGTGAGTACAGATTTAATTATTATATTTTGACACTAGTAAGGGTGCAAGTAAGCACATCTGTTTATTTATAAATATTCTTTTTTTTGAGAGGCGTTTGCGTACGTATACAAAAAATTGGTATTTTTATAGATACATTTATATTTAAATGCACACGATTATTTTAAAAGAAATAAAGACTCTTATTAAACGTTCATCAAATTGTATTAAAACAATTTTAAAAAAATTAAAAAACCTTTTATATTATTAATAAAAACTTTACTACATATTTAGACACTGTTAAAGAAATGAATAGAGCACGCAAAATACCGCCGAATGCTTGGCAAGAAAGCATGTATGTATATACATATTTAAAAAAGAAAATTTATTGTCTGAAAAATACATGAATGTTTCCGAAGTTCTCAAGACATTATTTTTGAACGTATTTATGGTACACACGCAAACTGCTTATGTATGTATATGTTCATATAAAAAGTCTCTTTTATAAACAGCTCACACACAAGATTTCTGTCTAACAAATGGTTTTACTATAAGATTTACTTTATATTTCTTTATTAAGATGCTTATACCTGACATTCCTCTAGGTAAGGTTTTATCTTCGTATGTGCAACAATCCGTTGACAGTGATTTTATAATTGAAAAGGAAATCTGAACATACCACAACTACTATGAAAAAGTTCATATACTAATATCAACAATTCTGAATAAGCACTTTGATGTCATGTCAATACCTGGAACTAAAGCGGTTACATATTTTATTAGGTATAAACATATATTTTAAATCATTAAATGCGTACATTTTTAAAGCTTATCTAAATGTTAGTGAGAAATTTAAAATTATTTGAAACATTTTCGAGCCAAATCTATCGCAAACTAGTCTCTTAATTTCAAAACTATTATAATACGATTTTCGGCCATCTGTGGAACAAAAAATTGTTTTGAGAGAGAAGCAAAGTACAACAATATAATAAGAGTTTTTATACCCTTGCAGATGGTATTATAATTTTGGTCAGAAGTTTGTAACGCAGTGACGGAGACGCATCCGACCCCAGAAAGTATATGTATATATTCTTGATCAGGATCAATAGGGGAGTCGATATAGCCATTTCCGTCTGTCTGTTTCAATATCGTTTGTGAGCTCAGTTTACAAGCTAGCGATCTGAAACTGTCACAGTCGTCCTAAAACATGTGTGTACAGATCAAGTTTGAAAAGCGCTCCGATCGGACGTCTATATCCTATAGCTCCCATAGGAACGATCGGATATACCTTGCAAGAATTGAATATATTTCACGCTGTGTAAAAGCTATTAACATGCATCTTTCCAAATCTTATTTTTGTATGCATACCTTGATCAGGGTAAAAGCGAGTGCTGACCGGACGTCTATATCCTATAGCTCCCTTAGGAACAGTAGGGTAAAATCGGTTAAAATTTGATGGCCTTCCTTTCTCAACTGCTAGTGTTGTACCATATTATTAAATTCTTTAAGTTGAAAATTTTATAAAATTGTAAATACCAATTAAACGGTATCCAGTAATTTTGTAATCCGATACTAACACACATACTTAATTAATAATTTGTATATAAAAATCTCCATTTAAGAGTTATTTTTTATTTTTATTGAGATTTTATTTATAAGAGTTCGATTTTTCTTTCAAAATTAAAAAAAAAAATATTCAGATTTGTCTGAAATAGGAGTTATTAAAATGTGTAATAAAAAATGATTCGAAACTTTTATTTATAAAAATCAATATAAAAGTCTTTTCGTTGCATTTAAACTGAAGTTTTTTCTCCACCACCCTATGGCACAAATACAAATTAAATTTTTCTTTAAGCCTAGTACTCAGATCGACGAAAACTGTCCGCCAGTCATGAGAGAGAGCGAGAGGCAGCAGACTGATTTTGCCAAGGTAGTTGATAATATCTTTTAAATGTTCTTTGATGAACTTTCGAAATTTTGGTCACACTGGAAAGATTAAAGTTTTTACCCTTTCGAACTCGTTTGTCGATCTGAGTACTAGGCATTAACAAAAAATTAATCGGAATTGAAGCAGTTCAATCAAGTATTCAAGGGGAATTAGTTTACTATTTTAAGGTACATAAATCCTAAGCAATTATAAAAGCCTAGTACTCAGAAAAAACAATCTAGCTAAGCCTTTCATGAGCCTTTCAGAGTATTATGTTCTGACTATAATAGACACTTTCCTATAATCTCAAATCTTGACTCTCTGCCGCTCCTAAAACGATTAATACTAACTTTATTGCCAAAAAATTGATCTTACTATTACTTTTTTCCCCGGATTTTTATACCCTTGCAGAGGGTATTATAATTTTGGTCAAAAGTGTGCAACGCAGTGAAGGAGACATCTCCGACCCTATAAAGTATATATATTCTTGATCAGGATCACCTCCTGAGTTGATATAGCCATGTCCGTCTGTCCGTCTGTCCGTCTGTCCGTCTGTCCGTCTGTCCGTCTGTCCGTCTGTCCGTCTGTCTGTCCGTCTGTCTGTTTCTACGCGAACTAGTCTCTCAGTTTTAAAGATATCGAATTCAAACTTTGCACACACCCTTCTTTCCTTTGCACGCAGTATATAAGTCGGAACGGCCGGGATCGGCCGGCTATATCCTATAGCTGCCATATAACTGATTGATCGGAAATGCCATAACTTTGGTGTTTGTCAAGTTAGGAAGTTGGGATTTTCTATGGGTTTTATATATGGCCAATCAATCCGACATACCAAATTTCATAAGGATCGGCCGACTATATCCTATAGCTGCCATATAACTGATTGATCGGAAATGCCATAACTTTGGTGTTTGTAAAGTTAGGAAGTTGGGATTTTCTATGGGTGTTATATTTGGCCAGCCAATCCGACCTACCAAATTTCATAAGGATCGGCCGACTATATCCTATAGCTGCCATATAACTGAACGATTGGAAATGCCATAACTTTGGTGTTTTTAAAGTTAGGAAGTTGGGATTTTTTATGAGTATTATGAATGCATCATATGAATAATTTTGGAGAATATAATTTACAGAGTATTCTGCAAGGGTATATCAACTTCGGCTCCGCCCGAAGTTAGCTTTCCTTTCTTGTTATCTATATTTTCTTATCTCGCGTCTATCTTCTCGCGAATCTTGCCGTACGATACACGGCTGCGCCCTTCGGTCGGTTGGGTGGGTAAGTGGGCCGTGGGACTCCGCGCTTAAAAAGAAAAAAAAATCATGCTTTTCGCTCGCGAGTGAACTACTATATTAACTTCGTTCATAAACTTAAAAACTATTTTAACTGTTTTATTATACCCGTTACTCGTAGAGTAAAAGGGTATATTGTATTCGCGCAAAAGTATGTAACAGGTAGAAGGTAGCGTTTCCGACCCCATAAAGTATATATATTCTTGTTCAGGATCACTAGCCGATCTAGCCATGTCCGTCTGTCTGCAGTTCCTACGCAGCGCAAGTTTGTTTCAAAATGGTGACACGCCCTTTCTGACGCCCACAAGCCACAAGCTGTCGCCACAGTTTTGATGGTATTATGAAAATTTTAATTGATATGTATTTGTTTCGTCAATACCTATCGATTGGCCTAATAAAAGTCTGCCACGCCCACTCTAACGCCCAAAAACCCATTAAACGCTTAAGCATGGCTAGCGCCTACATTTCTACATGGGGTAGATGGCGCAATACAATAGCGCTATCTAACGGATGACTTTGGAACAGCTGGCCAAGGTGCTCACCAGAGTCAACGTTAATTCTCGATAAGGATTTCTATTAAAGGAAATTGCGATGGCTTTCATTTGTCAATACCGAACTATATCCCAAGAACTATGCAAATCAAATCAAGTTAGCCAAATTGGAGGTCTGAGTCAAACAATGGCGTATGTGTGTATGTATGTAAGCATATACATATGCATGTATTTACATTGTACACAGTTGCAATTGCCCGGCAATTATAATATTAAGTTGTTTAGCTGAGTAACGGGTATATAATAGTCGAGGCACTCGACTATAGCGTTCTCTCTTGTTTTGTATTTCTGTTTTGCCTTTTCGGTTCTTCTAACTCCGCCGTTTTTCTTTTGTTCGTTATCCGTCTATATTAGCTGTTACGGCGTTGCTAGAAATAGTTTTCGACGAGCTGATGGTCTCCTCTCTGCGCTGAATTCGCACTTTAATAGCCGTAAGCTATTAGAAGAGACCCCTAATCGGAAAAAAGCCGCTGGTGGTAAGCATCAAAATGGCTTCTCCGCAACCGCGATCAAAAGAACAACGGACTATTCCGGCGTATCATCAGCTGAATGCAGCTAACCCTCAAATGTTCATAAGATCAGAAGCTAAAAAAGATTCGGTATCCGAACAATCCTTAACAGAATGCATGCGACCAGGGACTTCTAAGAATAAAATTTTCGTTTCTCGGCTTTTCCCTGATCAAACATCTTCGGATGTATTGTCTGATATACAGGACAAAACTAAAGTCGTTTATAAATAAAGTAAATAGAAGTGGGCCAAGGTGGCTTCCTTGTGGGACGCCTGAAGTAACTGGGATCAAATTAGAGAAAGAGCTTTTAAAGAGGACTCGTTAAGTCCTACCACTTAGATAACTTAAGATCCATGTTAGAAGATCACATGGAAACCCTAATAAGTCTAGCTTTAATACAACAAGCGAGTGATTTACTAAATCAAACGCTTTACTAAAATCAGTGTAAACTACGTCAGTCTGCATGAAGCCATTTATTACAAAAGATGTCAGCTCCAAGAGGTTTGTCGTCGTAGATCTTCGCCTTATAAATCCATGTTGACATGGAGATATAATCGATCTACAAAGATGTTGCAAATGGGGTATAATAGTGTTTTCGAAAAGCTTTGGGATGGCGGATAATTTGGATATGCCTCTGTAATTACTTGTATTGCATTTATTTCCTTTCTTATAAAGGGGAATGACAAATGACTCCTTCCAAATAAGTGGGAAATGAGATGTTTTTAAAGACAAGGTAACCAATTTGTACAGAGGTCTACACAGAGTTTCAGCACAGTATTTAAGCACGCAGCCTGGAACTCCGTCCGGACCCGGTGAATAGACTGGCTTAACTTTATGGAGATCCAAAAGAAGGGAGCTTTCGCCCAGCCTCGGACAAAAAATCAAGTTTGACTTAAATATGGCATTTAAATAACACGGCTTTAGACGGGATGAAACAGAATATGTTGTTTGGAAGAACTAGAATAGATCGGCAATTGCCTGATCAGAATTTGCCGTAGAGTTTTCGAATGATAGCGATGCAGGGTAGCAGGCTGATTTACGCTTAGTGTTAACAAAATTATA